GAAACTCGAAAAGCTCGAAAACGAGCAGCCATGGCTGCTGTTTTCGCTGCTGTTTTGGGCTGTGGGCCGACCTGTTGTTGCTGTCTTGGGCAGGGTCACGGACCGGGTCAACCAGACGCAAGACCCACATCCGTTTACTTTTAAAATAAAGACCCACATCCGTTTACTTTTAAAATAAAAATAGGATAAGGCATATGCTGAAAGCAGGTTTCGAACCCGCGACCTTAAACTCTGTGCATGAATGCGTTAACCAATAAGCCAGCCTTCAATTTATTAATTTTATGCCTTGATATTTTTAATATACAATAAACGTTTAAGTTTCAAAGATTAACATTTAAATCCCTAAAGTTTTAGAAAATATTTTTATCCAATCTAATTTTATGAGACTTTCATCAAGTTTATATGAAGGTTGTAAAATACAAATTTTGACCCAATTTCGATTATTTATCCCGTTTAGTTACCAAAATGATTCTACAATGTGGGAATCGGTATTTTAGCGATACTTTACGTATTTGCTTCATAAATTACCGAAATGACCCTATGTCTTGGGAATTGGTCTATGAACTTCGTTTTTATATTATTATTTTTATAAAATTACCAAAATGACCATATATTTRGAAATCGGTATTTTAGCAATACTTTACGTATTTGYTTTATAAAATTACCGAAATGACCCAATGTCTTGGGAATTGGTATCTAAGTGTTATTTTAAATCTAATCCCTATGAAATTACCAAAATGACCCTACAATGTGGAAATCGGTATCTTAGCGATACTTACGTATTTGTTTTATAAAATTACCGAAATGACCCTATATCTTGGGAATTGGTATTTATGCTTTATTTTGATTATTATCCTCGTGAAATTACCAAAATGACCTCACAATTAGGGAATCAGTATTTTAACAGTACTTTGAGTATTGCTTAATAAAATTACCAAAATACCCCTATGCTTTGGGATTGGACTTTTAAGCACAGTTTTAATATTCGACTTATGAAATATACCAATAATGCTCTAAATTAGGGAATTGGTAAAGCTATACATTTGGTATTCGGCTTCTTAAGATTTACCGAAATGCCCCTAGACTTGGAAAATTGGTATTCTCACATTATTTCGAGTATTAATTATGTTGAACTTTAAAGTTATGGAACGACCGTTATTTATATGTGTGTGACATGTTGTCACCTTTATTTACTTGCAAATCTTAAACGAGACGTTTTGACCACAAAACATTATTTACGTTGCGAACTATTTAATTTAGTTATTTTGGTAAAATATTTATTATTTAAGAAAATGTGAAGTATATTATTTATTTTATAAAATGAACGAGCAACAATTAATATTTAACGACGTCAYATTATTAATAATATTTCAAGAAAATATTGGAGTRAAACATGAGATATGATGTTATCGGGGGTTGATCAATAAAAGGAAAAGTCGTGTTAAGATTGTTAAGGAATGATAATCAATTTAACTACGATTATTTAAGATGCTTAGGGATGGTATAAATTATCATGTAGGTTGCCGTTTTTGAGAGAAAGACCTATCGAACGTTAACGATTCAAGGTGAGTACATTATGCGATTTTTATGGGATATATACATGATTATTACAAAAGTATTTTATCCATGATATATGCATGATATGTTTATATGCATATGATGATAACGTGATTACATTGATGTGCATGATATTTAAATATATGCATGATATGAAAGGTGATGTTGACGAAAAAGATTACGATGACTTGTTATTATCAATATGATATTCAAGTATGTATATAATGTGAAAAGAATGACGATGATACATATGTGATTTATGTTGTCATTTGCATGAGATGCATGTTGCATGTCACGATGAGATTTGCATTARTGARTGAGTATTGCAAATAAATGATATGCAACTAGTATGATTCGGCAAGATTCGTCCACCGTACGGGGTGGGTTGGACATGAAAGGAGGGCTTGCAATTCCGAGGTCTTGGAGTCCTCGTCCATAGAATACGCCACATACGCAAAGAAAAGTGACGAGCCGAAGCCTCACTTGCAAGATAATAATTAAAAAACGCTAAAACGTTGTTTTGTGTGTGCATGTGATCATGAAACCATATTGTATTCACTAAGCTTTTTGCTTATACTATACATGTATATATCTCAGGTGTCATTTGTCAGTAGACGAGTGAATGAAGAAAGACGGGACTATGTTTTTGAATCATGCTTGATTAGATATTTTAATTAGCATTGATTATATTAAAGTATTTTACGCTTCCGCAATTATGTAACGAATTATGTTAAACATATTATGTGTGTTTGGAATTTTAAGTTCGTATTTTTGTTCATGACATAAGTTATTAAGAATGACGTCACGACACTTGAATGGATAGAAAAAAAAATCGGGGCGTGGCATAGTTTCTTAAGTGACTTATCCTCATAAAAGAAAATCATATTTTAATCAAATAACAACAAAATTAAAATTAAATATTATTTGTTATAACTTAATATCAAATAATTTATTAATTAAATTGCTATTATAAAATAAATTAAATTAAGTAAAGAGAA